CCAAACGCGTTGTTTACAGAAACACTTGGTAAAAAAAAAAAAGAAAAGAAAGAAAGAAAAAGGAAAGGTGGAAGGTAGAAGCTGCTTTCACTTCCCCACTTGCTGCATTGTAGGTTATTGCGTGCTTTTCTTGAGATTTAAGACATTGGCTTCCATGACTATTAATTGAAAGGTTTCTACTTTAATTTACAGGAAGACGGCATGCCTAACCATTTTGTTCTTCTGCCTACTCTTCCTTCTCCACTTCTTTGCCAGATAACTTAGATGAGTGCTCGTTATTAAAATGGTCCCATTTTAATCAAGCAACCAATCCTTAGCTCTGCCTTTGGTAAAATGCAGTTGGCAGAACTTCCTGATTCCTATTTAAAAGGCTGCGTCTGTGAAAGTATATTCTTGTGTGCACCTGTCTTTCTTTTTCACTCACTAGTGAAACAGGATGCAATTCTTTGCCCTATCTCTGGGAGTTTTAAACTGTAGGAGAATGAACAGATCTCGTATGGTGGTATTCAAGACCCCGAGACCACTTAACACCTCTCCCCAATGTAACAGCCCCCTCCGATTTGTTTAAATTCAATGAGCCTAGGATTACTCTTAGGAAACATTATCCAGACATTTGTAACATTATCTGTCCATTTGTAAAGTGGTTTATTATCACTTAAACAATTTTATGGAAAAGAACCTGTTTATGACGATGGGCTGTTGATGTTCATATGAAGTCAGTTATGAAACCACGTACTTTTCTGAGCTGCTGCAACTTTGCTTTCCCTGTAGGGTTAAACAGCCATCTCATTAAGTACATCAATCAACAGGAATTAGTTAAGCTCTGACCTTGTGCTCATTGTCCTTTGCTTGGCATACTTTGAGCATTTCTGCAGAAGCAATCTAATGTCCCTTTCCCAACAGTTTTCTGAGTCTCAGATTTTGCATTTGCAAATCCGAGATTCCCATGATCATCTTGATTCTACAGCAAATGGGCACAGAGTATGATAGGGATATGTCAATGAAATGCTGGCAAGGATCTTGGAGCACTAGGTGACAAGGGAACTGACCTCGTGGCACTTCTGCCCACGTTCCTCATCCCTACCCTCAAGTCTGTAACCCATAAACTCTCCTTTGGATGCCAGAGGGTCGCTTCTGCAAATCTGACCTGCGCAGTCTACCATTGCTTGACTTCTAGAGTTCAAGAACACCACCGGGGCACAGGGTGTTATTAACAACAAAGTGCATTTAAAAGAAGTGGTAGTTGCTTCCTCCAGCCAGAACTGTGTGTTCTGTACTGAACTCTTCCGTGCTACTTCATCTGGCCGTCTTAGCAGTGATCCCCAAGAAAGATCAGATTCTCTATTCAGAGCGCAAGTTAGTTCTCAAAACTAGAAGCTGTGTTCCTCATGGATTGTGAGGATTTGAGGATAAAGTTTAGATGTGCTTGAGACCATAGCTACAGGTCTGCTTGGAGGATGATGAAACCAAAA